AAAACGACTCACTGGGCGTTGGCAACATACAAGAAGTGGGCACAGAGAAGACGCCAGGTCAAATATGTCAAGGACGATATAACTGCGTATGGCCAAGATCTCGCGGCACTTGACAAAACGCTGTACAAGTTCTATGGAGAAGTCCACACAGTAGAAGGCTTGCAGTTTACTCCGAGCTCGCTGCAAGTTCTGCGAGCTGGGCTACAGCGTCACCTGTCAGAGATGCTGGAAGATATGCCAAATATGGCCACACACCCTACTTTCCGCAAGTCAAACGAGCAGTTCAGAGCCGCTAAAAGACGATTTGCTTTGGAGGGCAATCGGGCTGAGGGCACTGCCAAAATGCCTATGGATCCTGCGGACCAAGAAGTCGTCAGGCAGTATTTCGCCAGCGAAAAGACTTACGAAGACCCCACAGTGCTGCAGCAATACGTTTACTACATGCTGTCTATGACGTTTGGCTATCGTGGCCGTGAAATTTGGCACCAGCTGAAAAAAGACAGTTTTGTAGAGGGAAGGGATGCGCTCGGAAGGGCCGAGATAAGGATGGATCAATCCCTCATGGAAAAAAACTATCAGCACACGGGTCCAAGCTCTACCTGCCGACGAGTCACATCTCTAACAGACGACCCGGAGGCAGGAGTCTTTCTGTACACTACGCTGAAGCTCTACTTGTCAAAGCTGGATGAGCGTCAACCAGCTTTCCTTCAGAAGCCAAAGACAGCTCTGCAAATGCTGCAGGAGCCGGACAGTGACTCCTGGTACGTGAACGCGCCGAAGGGGAAAAAACGCCATCGACAGCATGATGCCGACAATAAGTGCCTCTGCTGGCACTTCTAAAAGGTACACAAACCACTGCATCCGGCACACCTTGGGAACCAACATGCTTCGGCTTGGGTATCCCATCGCAGCGATCCAGGCCCGGCTTCGTCTGAGGTCCTCTAGAACCCTGGAGTGGTACACTTCGCACCGTACGGCGCAGGAGCTGACGGAAGAGACGAGAGAAGTGACGAGACCACTGCGAGGACTCAGACCGCCGGAAATGGCCTCAGGCGGCGCCGGACCGCTCGGCCCGTCGAAGCCCGTATACCCTGAACGGCGGCAGCTGCTGGAACAGCCGAGCACAAGCGGTGCTGGACACCAGCAGGCTGGACAGGAGCAGCTGCTTGGACAGCCGAGCACCAGCAGCGGTGGACACCAGCAGGCTGGACGGGAGCAGCTGCTTGGACAGCCGAGCACCAGCAGCGGTGGACACCAGCAGGCTGGACGGGAGCAGCTTCTGGGACAGCCGAGCACCAGCAGCGGTGGACACCAGCAGGCTGGACGGGAGCAGCTGCTTGGACAGCCGAGCACCAGCAGCGGTGGACACCAGCAGGCTGGACAGGAGCAGCTGCTTAGACAGCCGAGCACCAGCAGCGGTGGGCACCAGCTCATGTTGCTACCAGGACAGGAGCAGCTGCTGGGACAGCCGATCGCCAACGGCGCTGGACACCAGCTCGTGGTACCGCCAGGACAGGAGCAGCTGCTTCGACAGCCGAGCACCAGCAGCGGTGGACACCAGCAGGCTGGACGGGAGCAGCTGCTGGGACAGCCGAGCACCAGCAGCGGCGGGCACCAGCTCATGTTGCTACCAGGACAGGAGCAGCTGCTGGGACAGCCGATCGCCAACGGCGCTGGACACCAGCTCGTGGTACCGCCAGGACAGGAGCAGCTGCTGGGACAGCCGATCGCCAACGGCACTGGACACCAGCTCGTGGTACCGCCAGGACAGGAGCAGCTGCTAGGACAGCCGATCGCCAACGGCGCTGGACACCAGCTCGTGGTACCGCCAGGACAGGAGCAGCTGCTGGGACAGCCGATCGCCAACGGCACTGGACACCAGCTCGTGGTACCGCCAGGACAGGAGCAGCTGCTGGGACAGCCGATCGCCAACGGCGCTGGACACCAGCTCGTGGTACCGCCAGGACAGGAGCAGCTGCTGGGACAGCCGAGCACCAGCAGTGGTGGACACCAGCAGGCTGGACGGGAGCAGCTGCTGGGACAGCCGATCGCCAACGGCGCTGGACACCAGCTCGTCGTACCGCCAGGACAGGAGCAGCTGCAACTCGTGTCCGGACACCAAGGGTTTCTTTATCCAACCTTTTCTGGACATCAAAAGGTGTTCTATGGTACGTTTAACAACTGCACGTTCAACTGAGGCTGACTGTTCTTACTCAGTGTGAGGCTGACTGGTTGAGGCTGTCTGTCTTTACTATGGGTCTCACGGATGGTGAGGATTCAGAACGGTAACGGAAATACAACATAGTCAGCAATGCTGTTTTTTTTAATACCGAGATTATCTCAGCAACGGAACAATGGCAAAGGCTGCAAATGCTACAACTGAACGAGGGAGGAACGAGGGGAGAGAGAGAGAGAGAGAGAGAGAGAGAGAGAGAGAGAGAGAGAGAGAGAGAGAGAGAGAGAGAGAGAGAGAGAGAGAGAGAGAGAGAGAGAGAGAGAGAGAGAGAGAGAGAGAGAGGAAAAATGAAATATATTAATTAGGTACGGTATAATTTATGTTATACAGTCTAGCAATGCTTATCTTCACAGGGAATAAATTCTGTTATACCCTTTGAAGTTAATCTCTTCCCCCAAAATACTTCCATGCCCCGTTTTCTTATTCTCGTCCCCCAAAGAAAACCCCTTTAACACTCATAGCTACAGATGTAATGATGGTGTATTGAACTTCTATATAGTTTTTTTGTGAAGAAATCAATCTCGATAAGTGTTACCTATGTTTAATGTTTAAGTTATTGCATGATAAATGCACGAAAGCTTAACGGGCTAGCGAGGTTAGCATTTGATTCTGATGCATCATTCTAGGGAATCCGACTCCTTATCGTACGATCTTGTATAAATAATTCATATCTTAAAAGGATTTAGCATCAAAACGACAAAAAATTGCCATAATATAGTTAACTCCGCTGGATGCTCGGTATACCGGGCAGTATTCGGCCAGATTTCCCATAGGATATTTACATTTCATGCACTCGTAAACTCGTGCATGAAATGAGAAAATAGCACTCATTTCATTCGTGCAATTTTCAAAATAGTACCCTCACTCCGTTCGGGTACTATTTAGAGGCAAATTAATACCCTCACTTCGTTCGGGCATTAATTTAAATATCCTTGGGAAATCTGGCCGAATAATGCCCGGTATACCGAGCATCCAGCGGAGTTAACTATATTATTACGACTTTGCGCCGTTCACGCATGTTAAAGAAGTATGCTTAAATCTTGATAGCACGAGTGATTTTTGCAGCATCGGAGGGCTGTCTGTAAACGCGCGCGTGATTTCAGTTTTTTTTTTTTTTAAGTAAAACGTCGGTATAACCAAGGCCATCTATAGAAGGTAGTCACTCCCCCGCCGACCAATCAGAGACAGATCCTGAGTGACGTCACCCCTGATGCTCGCAAGGGGTACTCCATTCCTTTCAACGTAATAATGACTAATTTCGTTTGAAGATTATTGATGGCACTCTTCACATACCGCTCAGCCGTTGATGTCAATGGAAAGCCCAACTAATTTTCCAGCGACAAAAAAGAGCAGCAATATGCTAAGAAATGGCCGGTTTTGAAGATATAGACGATTTAAAAACCCTCTGCAGCAGCAGGAAAGCAACGTAAAAACGCATCGAGCTTATATTTTTACTATGGATAATTCATTTTTCAGTAAGTTTTTAGATATGGTATAGATTTGAGTTACAACTTTATTACAATATTTTTATTACTTGAAACTTTATTTCAAAATAATATTTTCAAAAATGGCAGCTGTTGGCCAGTAGCTTGGGAGCGATTGTGGCGCACCGCGCCATTAATTGTCCTGAGGCCCCCTTATGATGTCATCAAAAGTGGAGTGACATGGGCCTGGGTATAACAGAAATTAATCCCGGGAATAATATTGTTAATCAGACTTTTTCTTCCCGTGGTGGAGCCCAAATATTTGTTTCGCAAGAACTTGCACGTTTCATGAAAATTTATACATTTTAACCCTCGCCCGTATAACGTATTGGACATTGGTGTTTTTCCAGCCGCGAACGTATAAGGGGGGGGGGGGTCCGTTGGACCCCCCCCCCCTTGCCGTTTCGCCCCTGATCGAGCTAGAGCTTCGCGGAAAAAACGAGCGTGTTGCCCGTGACGAGAGGAAGCCGATGATACCTTATTTTAAGGTCCTAGGTCATTGGTTGACCTTCCAGGTCAGGTCAATGACCCAAAAGTCGGGAAAATCGGGACCTGTTAGAACGTCGTAAAGTGTGACTGCTATGGGGTTTTTCGGGGCGCTGATCACGAATATCATGTTAGTTTTGATCACAGATGATGTCTTTATGCATTTAGTCCAGGTCGGGTCAGGTCAGGTCAGGTCAACCAGTAGGGGTCCTGCCGGGTATTCCTAGTAGGTATCAACCGCCTCTGACAGCTTCGTAACATGTTACGAAGGCACCAAAACTACTTAGTAAATGTTCATATGGTTGCTAAATTCGAATTCAGCTCCAAAAACTGGCCTAGAAACATGTAAAACTCGAATAAGTGAACCGAGGTCACCAAAGGTCAATGACCTGACCTGAACTTCAGATGACCTTGACACCCACCCTAATGCATGGGGGCAACATCATATCACATGTTTGAACGCTTGAAACCACGAAAAGCCTGCAAACGCGCGGCTAATGAGAGCCGACATACGCCGAATCGCGATTCCGGCCAAACATGGTCTCGAAAAGTAGGTCACAGGTCAAAGGTCATTGGGGTCAGGGTCATGAAATTTTAAGGGTAGGTGTAAAATTGATTAACGCGAGGGTACTGAAAGTTTCGTCGCGATCGGCCGTTTTTTACGCGAGTTAGTCGCGAAAAACCATGGGGGGTCCGTTCGACCCCCCCCCCCCCTATACGGGCGAGGGTTAAACTGCATTGAAAACATGACTGAATGAATCTTGATAACGCATGAGATCCATCCAAGGCCATATATAGGATCCATCAGATATCTGAATGATTCAAAACTAGCTTCGAGCCGATTTTTTTTTTTATAACTCTGAGCTTTGAGACCTAGGTGCCCAAACTTCTTTGGACGATTGTTGAAATGTGATTTAAGTAATTGTAGAAATGTAAACCCGTGTTTACTGAAGGTGAATCGACATAATCAAAAGTGAAGAACATTACATTGTATTTAGCTTTAGGTTACATTTTAACAGAGCCAGGAGCGCAACCTCACTCCTTGAGCTCTCAATCCAGACTCCCCGCCCACAGTCAGCCGAACACCTGGCCGTGATCAGCTGAATGGGCGAAAACATAGTGCACCATGAGATGCTCCGATCGCGGCATCCGCTATATAAAACACTTTACTAATTGGTCAGTAAAGCCTCTAAGCATGAACAAGAGTGTTTACCATTCTAATAATATGCTGTACATAATAAAACATTTAATTGCATTATCTAGGACAGCTTCGAGTTCATACCTGAAGCAACAATTGAATAGCAGACGATCACGCGCAAAACCGTTGAATTAAATTCCTGTCCAGACATCATATGGTCACCGGGCTCCTCTCGCCGGTGAAACAGTTAAACTTTAATCGGCGCAAAGCTTGCCGATTACACTTCTCCCTCCTTTGAATGAAAGGCGTGCACTTACATCTAGAAACACTCATTGACACATGCGGCATCATCAGCACGCGCCACGCGACACCATAACACCGTGGTCGCTAGATGATGCTTGGCAGCATCCGGCTGACTTTGACTGGCAGTCAGCAACAACGAAAAACACAAACACGTCATCGCACAGCATCGCTCACTTATCAACTACCTAGCTGAACAGGTATGGCTAACCGTCAATGATGGCAATGGGTACCCTGGGTCCCATCCCAAACACAGGCTAACCAGACCATGCTATTTACATCCCATGCCATGATGCTCTGAACAGGCTGCTAGAGGGCTCCTACTCAAACTGAGTTTAATGACATTGACATGTCAATCAGAAACGTCCCCAGGGATTGACCGAATCTAGCTCGACGCGCACACTCTCTTTCCATAAAGAGTTAAACAAATCTGTCGCACTCCGGCGCCAGGAGCCAACCGATTGTCTGCTGAGCTAGTTAAAAGGAAAATCAGGGCGACTGATTTTACGTTAATTTGAGCGCACCTCTTACCTCTTGCCTTTTGAAGCATTAATGTTAATCAGGCTACCTACAAGACTGGAACAAAGCGATCAGGCGGTCGAGTCCGTCGCTCGGACCGTCTGGCTGGCACCGGCGGCGGTACCTCAGACCGCGGGGGTACCGGCGGACACTCGGGTGTCGGCACCGCCATCTGAACTGTGCCGGACGATTGCTCCTCAATCGCTGGCTCCTTACCTTGCACGGCTGTGCCGATGATGGGCAATCGTGCCCAGGCTGTGACACCAGCCGGGCCATCCACTGACCCACTGTCCACGGAGACCGACTCTGTCTCTGCTGGCGGCGTGGTCTGAGCGCGTGTCACCGGTGACGCAGCATCAGCACCAGCCTCATCCTGACTCTCAGTGACCTCTGGCACAGGTGGGGTAACTATCGGCTCAGTTCGCGGCTTCAAACGATTATGGTGAACCAGTCATGTTTTCCTGGAGCCCGTGACCTTGATACGATAGTTCAAGTCCCCTACCTTTGCTACAATCACCGCAGCCTTCCACGGTCTCACAAACTTGTAATATTGTCCCTTAGGAACCACAGCTTTGTGCAAAAATACCAAATCTCCCTCTTTGTATTCAAACTCATTCATTCGTTTTTCGTAGAACCGTTTGTTTTTCCCATGTGAAGCGTCAGATACCTGTAGCGCATGCTTGTGTGCAATTCTCAAAGACTCGCGTAGCTTATCTACATATTCTGTGACGGTCTGAGATTTGCTCGCGACTGGAACCTGGAGCTCAGCCTCCACAGGCAGGCGCGGCTCTTTACCGAACATGAGAAAAAACTTGTGTCATTCGCAGATGACACTCAGATCTGGATATCTGGTCGAAAACAGAACATATCTGATATGATTAATTCTTTGGAAAGCGAACTATCGCTGCTGTTTGACTGGTTTGCCCAAAACTCACTGAAGTTAAACTCATCAAAGACGCAGGTGATCGTTTTTGGAACCAGGGCCATGTTGAGGGATGTCCCCACAGTGTCTGTCAGAGTGGGCAATACTGCAGTCAGTGAATCCCGCGAAGTGAAGAATTTAGGCGTACACATGGATAGGCATCTGACATTCGGCAACCACATCGATCACCTCGTGAGAAAATGTACCGGAACTCTGTTAGGTTTAGTCCATGCTAGTCACGTAATACCTCACTCTGTTCTCAAGCAAGTCGTGTTGTCGTTAGTGCTGTCAACCATCCGGTACTGTATGTCAATTTATGGAACTTGCGGCATAACCCAGCTTCATCGCATACAGAAACTGATAAACTTCAGTGCCAGAGTCGTGTGTCGTAAGAAGAAATACGAACACATAAGTCATGAAACACGTCGTCTAGGATTTCTGACAGCATCAAAACTAGTCACGTATCACCAACTCTGTCTCGTGCGCCGTATACTTGCGACGGGGGAACCGCGGGAGTTGAGGTCGCTGTTCGTTGGTGTTGACCACGAGCATGGCACAAGACACGCAGACAGATTAGTGGTATCCCGTGCCAGAACCTGCGCGGGCGAGCGACGCTTATCCAATGTTGGACTGCGGAAGTTCAACAACTTACCGAGTGAAGTGCGGTGTGCTGTAACCATGGCCGGTTTTAAGCGTGCTTTGATGGCTGCACTGAGCGATGAGTGATGTTTATCTTTTAGCTGTGTATTTGTGTCTTTTATCCTTTTTATGTATACATACTTTTTATTTTTACAATAGAGATACTTCTACAATTTTTCAACTGTGACGTGACGTCTGAAAAGCCTCGGTTATGTGAGGATGTCGTTGAATAAACTGAATCTGAATCTGAATCTGAGAAAATACGGACTGTAGCCCAGCGCACTGTGCTCGAGCGATCTGTACCCCAGCATCAACAATGGGAGGTGCTCGTCCCACTGATCGTGATTGGCGTCGAGATACTTCGAAAGCATGTCGAGCAGAGTCCTCATCATCCTCTCGACCTTACCGTCACCCTCTGGATGATAGGCACTTATCTTTGTTTTCTCGATGCCGAAAAGACGACACATCTCGGCAATCACCTGTCCCGTGAAATTGGCGGCACAATCCGAATGGAGCTTTCTCGGGCACCCGTACCTGGAAAAGAATTCACTTACCAGAGTGGACGCTACTGTGGTGGCCGTCATATCCTTCAGCGGGAACACCTCACACCAGCACTCGGCGTCACTGGTAGGTTAGTCAGAAAATCGATCGCTACCGTCTCGAACGGCTCGGAAGCATGCAGTTCACCCAGCGCGGCTCTCGGTCTCGGCACCGGCTGACTTCTGGATGAACACCGCTCACAGCGCTTGCAGAACTCCTTGACGTCTGACAACATCCCTACCCAGAAGAAGCGTCGGGTCACTGCTGCGTGTAGTCTGTCCGGTCCGGGGTGACCGGCAGTCGGGCCGCTGTGCAGTGACGTCAGCACACCGGTCACAAGAGATCGCGGGATCACCAGCTGCAGCTGAAACTCATCTCTCGCCCTCCTGCGGTACTTTCGGTACAGGACACCGTCAAGAAGGGTCAGTCGGGACCACTGCCTCAGCAGGGGACGCAAGGACCTGTCGACACTGCGGCGATGTGGACGCTGTCCCGAGGAAAGATGCTTCACGATCTCTGAAATTGTTGCGTCCTTACCTTGCTCTTCTTTCATGAAGCTGGCGGACCACGGACTCTCATTGATCTGATGGCACCACGCTCCCTCAGTCTGCACGCCTGCGTCAGCTGTGCTCTCGGGGCGCCGGCTCAGACCACCAGCTGCTGTATTAGTGGCCCCCGGACGATAAGAAATGTCAAACTGATAATTGCCCAAAACTTCAAACCACCTGGCTAGCATGCCGGTGGGGTTCTTAAAGTTCAATAACCACTGCAGACTACTATGATCAGTACGTAGTTGAAATCTCGCTCCCTGAAGGTAGTGGTTAAAATGTTGCACAAAATGAACACACGCTAATAACTCGCGCTTCGTGGTAGAGTAATTTCTCTGTGACTTTGACAGCGTCTGGCTGCCGTACGCGACTGGACGCTCGACACCATTCTGCACCTGTAGCAAAACGGCTCCCATACACTCCCCACTGGCGTCCGTCTCCAAAATGAATGGACCTGCCTCTGAATCAAAACGCGGAAACGCAAGCACTGGTGACTCGCATAAGGCCTTTTTCAATGAAGCAAAAGCAATTTGAGCGCTGTCCGACCATTCAAAATTTTGATCCTTAATCGTGAGGCGGAATAGCGGCGCTGCAATATCCGCAAAGTTCTTAATGTACCTTTTAAAGTACGAAGCTAGCCCTAGAAAACTGGACATCTCCTTGGCTGATCTGGGCACAGGCCAGTCACGCACCTTCTCTACCTTGACAGGATCGGCCTTGATACCCTCCCCTGACACTTCATGTCCCAGATAGGTGACCTTTTTCCGGAAAAACTGACACTTTTTCAAGTTCAAAGTCAACCCTGCATCCATGAGACGACTCAAAACACAATCCAGTGACTCCAGAACACTCTGAAAGGTTGACCCGTGCACAATGATGTCATCAAAGTAACTCACACATTTTTCTGGCGCAATATCTCCTAGCACTAAGTTCAGCAGACGAGCACAGCTCGCTGGCGCTCCTGCGAGACCAAAACAAACCCGTGTGTACTGCAGACACGAGAAAGGTGTCACGATCGTTGCCTTTTCTCTATCCTCCGGTGCAATTGACATCTGATGGTAAGCCGAGTTCATATCAAGGGTACAAAATAGCGACGATCCCGACAGCGCGTCTAGCGTATCATCTATTCTGGCTATCGGATAGGCGGGGACTCGAGACACGGAGTTCAACCGACGTAAATCGGCCACTATTCTCGCCGACCCGTCCTTCTTGCGAACCACGCAAATTGGCGACGCCCACGTGCCCTCTGACTCCTCTAGGATCCCCTGTCTGACTAACTCGTCTAACTGAGCCTTCACCTCCTCTTTGAGGTGCGGCGGAATTC